TTTTATATAAATTATGCCACAAGGGGCTTTAGATCAACTACCATATATATATATAAATCATACACGCGCACGCATGTTTCTCATTGCTGTTTTGACAAACAGGAGCAGAACTGTTACGATTGTTATTATTATTATTCGCATCCTTGTCATTGTGGTAACTTGTCAGTCTTGTCGTATCCTGTCGTTCTTGTTACCGAAACGATTCACTCTGTTGCTATCTTCGTTGTCATTCCTGTGGCTGGTACTACTATTCGTCGTAGTATCGCTGATACCACTCGTCCTCGCTATGGCTGTGCAGTGATGATGGTAATGATGATGATGATGATGGTGATGAACATTCGTCTCCATGTTAAAACCCTAAACACTGGAAGGGGAATCTCCATAACAAGCCCTCCGCATGGTCAGCTTCTGCATGCTTTATGAATACTGAATTCACTGCTCCTCCCCCTCCTCCTCCCCGTCCGGCCATCCCTACGTTGCACCCCCTCTTGCGCTACCCCCTCCTTCTCCTCCTGCTCCTCCTCCTTTTCCTCCTCCTCCTACTACTCCTACTTCTACTTCTGCCCGTACTCCTACTCCCACTCCCACTCCTTCTGACGACTACTACTACTCCCATGCTGCTCCTGCTCCTGCTCCTACTCCTGCTGCTCCTGCTGCTCCTGCTTCTCCTGCTGCTGCTTCTACTGCTACTGCTGTTTCTACTGCTACGACTCCGACTCCGACTCTGAAGATGATGATGCTGATGATGATGCTGCTGCAGCTTTACCGAGTTCTTGGGGACGTCGGATTGGGGTTTGGGGATTTGCCAGAACAGAACAGCAGCACGACTGGCAACAAGCGTGGTGGGATGGTACTAATAAGCGATGACCAGGCCAGCAAGGCAAGGCTGCATATGCCGGGTAGGTGCAACGTTGATGTCTTGTTATTGTCGTCGTCGTCGTTGTTGTTTGGTACCCCTGCTAGCACCCTGCATCATGCCCTCAACCCTTGCCCTCGATGCCAATCCTCAAAGCCTAAAACCGACTGTTTTGCGCTCCCGGCCCACAACCCGCGACCCCCAACGCCACCAACCTCCCCTCGCAGAGACAAACTCTCCTTTCGCTTTCGTGCACCTGCTGGGCAAAGTCCCGATGCACTTCGTTGGTGCTATGGGGTGCCAAGGACTGCGCCAAGTCCAACAGCTCCTGGAAGGGTTTTTAACAATTGAGTAAAGTTTCGGAGAGGGTGTATGTAAGGGTGGGCTGAATGGGTTTCGAATTTCATTCAAGCATCGACTCAAATATTGGCTCGCTACGTATAAACGTGTTTCCCTTCACCGAGATTTAAAGGTATTACGGCACTGTAGCACTAACAGACAAGATGGTTTAGAGCAGGGATTTACATTCCCGGATTTGTGTACAATATTCGTGATGCCCTGCGACTTTAATGTCCTACGACCTACGACTTTATATGGACTGGAAGTTTAGCAGCACTACGCACAGAACCCATGCGACGATCGGGTTGTGGATCCAGGGTTCATGGCAGGCGCAAGAATGGCTTGGGATGTCGTGGTTTACTTTCGCAAACTATCCAATGGCGGGAAGTGGGATTGTCCTTGCAACCCCGTGAGTGCATGCGTGTGCAGCAACTTAGGACCCAAAAGCCCTTAAAACAGAGCCTCATCAGCCTACTTTGTAATGACCCGGCAATTTACGCATGGGTTTATCTGCGCGTGCGAGTACACACGCCGGTGGCAATGCAACGGGTCCACATGTAAGTCACCGTTGCCATTCAGAAAATTAATTACAGTAGCTCTGGTGCCGCGCACTCGTTTGTGTGCTCGCACTTCTGGGGCTTGAAGAAAATCACCCCAGTCAGCGTGGCACAAAGTTCCGAAGCACTCCCGGCCCTCCCTCCCTCCCTCCCTCCCTCCCTCCCTCGGCCTCCGCTCTCCTCTCTGCTGCTGTCTTTCTTTCATTCTTTGTGATGAACCCTTTTTTCGCCGCAGTCAACCCACTCGCTCGACACCCGCATGACCGAGCGCAACAAACCAACCGGATCACGCCGCTACATCCGAACTCAGCAGTCACAAGCTTCGCGCAATAGGCCCTAAAATCATAAATCGACCGTATATCCACAATTAACCGATTCACATCCAAACCGACTTTCGGGGTCCAGGGTCGCCTGCTGCACCAACACTTCCAGACGATTCCACGCGAAGGCTTCGACGACAATGCCGTTTGAACGGCAGAAGTCCAACACCTAGCTAACCGTTGCACCTAACATCACCTAACTGGCTTGGAATTTCCGACTGATGGGCACAGATTCGGGCGGGCTTCAGGAACCAGCGGTACTTTCACGAAGCTTTGTAACTCACCCAGCTACTGCTGTATGCGCTCTTATACCGCTGACAACCAGACAGAATTCCCCCAACAAAAAAGGCATCACGGGCTGGCCTGGAGCAACTTTAAGAGCCCAGCTCTGAGCGTTTTCGAGCTTACCGCTTTGGGCTGCTATCTAAAACATAAAATCCACAGGGCACGCCGTTAGGCCATGAACATAAGGTGCAAGCTATCCTTTTGCTTGAGAGCCAAGCGCGGTAACGACCAACATGATGACTGTACACGGTTACATAGAATCCTACGCCTGGTGCGATGCAAAACAACACCCCCCTCACCTAAAGGCGTGATCGCATACAATGGAAAACAAGTAATGCCAGCCTGAAGGTGGAAGCGTGCCAAGCTACCAGACAGTTTTCCCCTCAGCGTATTGAAAATTGTTCGGTCTCCGGGCGAACATGTCTGCAGAAAATCGAGCTCGAAGGGTGATAAGTTGGGATCAGCGCCAGCTCCAACCCTGCCATCCTTGGTTCCAGGATCCCGACCAGCCGCTCCACCACGATCAGTCACTGCGGTCGCCGCCATCGGCTCTCGTCGGGCGTTGGGCGCCAGCTGCTGACTTGCCTTTGCGTTTGGTGCTCGTGCTCTTGCCGTTGCCCTTCGGCTCCTGTCCTAGAGGGAGATGCGTTGCGTACTTCGGCTGGGCACGGCGAGAGCTTTCGGCATCACACTCAGTTTGCTTTCACGATGTTGGCGGCATACTCGGGATCATCCCGAAGATCAATCCAGACCGACAGCAGCGGTCTCCACATCTTGACCGCAGATGTCGACTTGTCCATGACCGATTGTCAACAGTCGCGCATCATATTGCGATCGGGCGATGTTCATTCACGAAGTCTTGAAAGCTCAAGATTGCCCCGTACCATGTGGTGCCGCTGCGCACAACTCATTGCCGATGTCGTTAAAGTAGACCAGGCGGCAATGTGGGATTTCACCGCGCTTGAATCCAGTGAATCCAGTGTTCTGGCTCACTGATGCGTTCGATCCCACAGCCAATTTTCGTTGGGCCATTATCATTGTGCGTACCGGATTCGGGAGATGAGCGCTGTTCAAACAAGCCACAATACAGGCCGACCGTCTTGTAGAGCCAATTGCAGTGAGCGGGCAGGAAAAGACATTGTCTTTGTTGTAGCGGTCGAGCACCGCGTCATACCCTTTGGCTTTCGCCTTGTTCAACGCGAGCTTAGCCGTAGCCTTTCTGGTCGCCTCGCCTTCGAAGGATGCCATGCCACGGCCGGCGATGTCTTTCGACGCGCTTTTGTCCTTGGCCACGAAGATCCTCGGCGCTTCGTTTTCGGCAGCGAGTTGATCAATAAGGGCTTCGCGGCCACGAGCTAAAGCCGTTCTCTGTTTTGGCTCTTAACGGAACTTTTTTTGACAGGACCGCCACACTCGAAGCAAACACGCTGTCCTTCAAGGCATAGTGCTGAGCGGCAACATGCCACCCGCTCAAGAAAGGCACTCTGTGGGCGACCCTCGGTGCCTCCATAATGAAACGGCTCTGGAGGTTTCACTAGCTGCGAGCAGCTCTCCACGAGGATGCCCTCGACCCTGTTGATGACGTGAGTAGCAGTCGTATTGGAAATGTACGAGGTGGTAGTCATCGGGCAAGAAAGAACAATGAGTGTGCCGTCATCCACGGTCGGCCTCTCCTCTACGGAGGGCATTGGCTCGTCGGCGGCGGTATCTGCATTCTGGGTGGCGCGAGCTCCGGCACCTCGATAGGTGGAACTTCGTCTGTGATAGCGAAAGTTCCTTTGGGCGTAGCCGTGAGCAGCTGAGGGTCGTCTGTTGGAGCATCAGCAGAGGAGCTTCCAGCATCAACGATGATATCAACAGGTTCAGCGGCCTCGGCTTTCGCCGGGTTTTCATCTTCACCCTCTTCAGCATCATCGGCAGCATACGTCCCCCCACACCAGCAAATTTGATGTGCTTCAGGGCATCGTTCATGACAAGCATGAAGCTTCCGGGGACGGGCTGTGCTGCAAGGAAGCCCTCCGACTCGGTCATGAAAACCTCACAACCTGCCTATCACCTCCCGTGCGTCAAAAACAATCTCCACCGGGAGGTTAGCACTTCGGATTTGAGCTTTTGATCCTCGAGAGGTTGTCCAGAAAAGTAGCAATAAGCCTTCCCGCTACTGCCAAATCCAGGAACCATTTCGCCCTCGAGGATAGAGAAAGCTGCATCGTGTGCTGTACGATGATACAACATGTTCGGGACCTTGTTGGGCGGGAGGATCGGCCTATCCTCTCGGATGGCTTCAATATCGCTCAGCTCATCAGTCGTATACAACGACACCCAGCCAACGGCGATCTCCTCAGGATCAACGTCTGTGCGAGGATTGCGATGAATGCCAGCTGACTGATGGCATCGGCTGCCGAATCGCCAGGTCCTTTGAAGCTCAGGCACCCTTGTTGTCATGGTAAACCATCTCCAAGAGTATTCCGGAACCCAGACTGGCGCGCTGCGTGCGATTCGTGACCGCCTAAGGTGCATGCTATCCTTTTGCTCAGAGGGCTTGAGAGTCAATCGCGGTAACGACCAACATGATGCCTGTACACGGTTACGTAGAATCCGACGCTTGGTACGATGCAAAACAACATAAAATAACCTAGAACATAAATTAAGCCCTGGTGAGCAGGTGTTCAGGGCGTCGGGGTGCGGGGACCGGCTTAGGGTGTGAATCTGGCCCTCGTTCTTGACTGAACCAGTCACTGCAACGCCGTTTTGCCTATCAAGGCCCGTGTGCACCGATTGAGCAGCTTAGCAGGGGGATGCATTTGAAAAAGTGCCGGCTTCCTCCTGAGACTTTCGTCTGTTCTGTGTTCTTTGGGCCGTTAGCCAACTACAGTGGTAGCGGAGCGCCTGGGTACGGCCAGGCGCGTAGGGGGTTGTTTGTTTAGGTGAAAGTCTCAGGACGGACCGTGCACTGTAGGACAGTGCGTCTTTCCGGATGGCACAGGCTAGTGCTGCAGAGGTACCACCGGTGCCTGAGGATGATGAGGGACTTGATGAGGAGGAGGCGGAGGAACCGGACCGAGATGAGCAGCAGGAATACGAGGAATTCCGGCGGTGGCTCAGACTTCGCGACCGTCAAGGGGGATGGTCCGAACGGCGGCAGAGACCGCCGCGACGGCGAGAGGATGAAGATGATGATGACGGCGGAAATGATTTCCGCACGAATGCCGGACCTCCGCCGGCATGGGACGGTAGTCAGTGCCCGTTCGAGGACTACCTTATCAGGGCTGGTCTTTGGATAAGTACCACCAAGGCTAAGGCGCGAACACGCGGGCCTCTGCTCCTGAAAGCCTTGAGTGATACGCCATTCCAAGATTTCAAGCATTTGGCCAAGGATCCGGCTTGGTTGTCGAATCCTGACAATGCGGAAGCCCTGTTGAAGAAGATGGATTCTCCTGAGTACTACGGCGATGATCAAGATGAGCATCTGTTGGCCTCTCTGGCTCGGATCACTTATCACTTGAAGCGCCAGAAAAGCGAGACAGCAAGACAATTTCTTGGACGCTGGGAGGCGGCCGAGAGAAAGGTGCAAGAGCACAAGGTTGTTTTGCCCTCGCTCTACCGAGGCTTCTTGATGATCAATGCCCTAGGGCTCAGCGATGCCGAGATCAAGGTGCTCTTGACCTTCACGCATGGTTCGATCGAGCCCAAGGACCTAAAGACATGGCTGCGGAAGCACGAGACCAAGTTGCAAGCAGGACAGCTTGGCAACGAGGTCGCTTCCAAGAACAAGGCGACCGCAGCCGTGCACGTGATCGAGCAGGAGGAGAATGAGGAGAATCCGGAGGATGAGGAGCTCGGAGCAATGGAAGCGATGCTCGCCGACCTGGCGGAGGAAGACCCGACAGCCAACGAGCCCGGCTACTTCGAGGAAGACGAGGCGGCCGAGATTTTGGCGATGATGATAAAAGTCTGCTCAGATCAAGAAGGACAAGGAGCTGGGGCGGGGATATCGCCAAGGAGCCGGGAGCGCGAACTACCGGGACCGAACAGGCCCCATCAGGCCCGAGACTTACAAGATATCCATTGCGGACTTGAAGCAGCGGACACGTTGCAAACGGTGCAACAAGTTTGGGCATTGGCATCGGGAATGCCCGAATCCGCCAGCGGCGGGAAGCTCCCGCGACCACCAGAAGGAGACCCATCTCCTTGAGATTGACCTCGAGCCCTACTAAGATGCTCTCTTCTGCCACTACCTCGAGGCGGATGAACATCAAGGACCTCATCACAAGACCGAGTGCGAGCCCGACATTTTGTCCCCGAGCGATGAGCCGAAAGGCTACGGCAAAGGCCGTTCAAGTTTTGACTCAGATTCGTCCACATCCGAGCTTGATTACATGCCCGGCCGGGTTTATGATGTGTGGTACGATGGTAGTCTGAGTTATGATGACGATGCCTGCGCTACCATTGACACCGGGTGCCAACGAACTGCCATAGGTTCCGAAACCCTGAAACGTATGAAACCGTTTTGGCCCCCTGAACTTCGTTGGTATCAGCAGAACGAAACCAACAAGTTCCGATCGGTTCATGGTGTTTCCCAGACTGAGTATAATGCCGTGATTCCGTGCAGCGTAGGGAAGCGAGGGTGCTACATGAAACCTGCGGTTTTCACTGAAGGTCACAGCAAACACGCTCCCTTTCTGATTTCTCTCCGGTTGCCGTCATAAGCCTTAAAGATCAGCAGCCTATGCTCTTCCTGACCAAGCATCAATCAAAGCTTCCACTCCACGTCGGACCCTCAGGAGCTCTGCGTGTGCCTCTAAATAAGTTCACTCCACTCATGATTGAGGTGCTGAGCAGATCGGAGCGTGCGCTCGTTGGAGGTCAGCATGGTGAGTTCGAAGTTCTCAATCTTGCGACTCAGTGCCCTCTCGAGTGTAAAGACCCGAAGGTTGTAGCCCCCGGCCTGTCGCCTCTTAGGACCGCCTGCCATGGACTGCAGCTCGCCGACGAACAAGCGCGCCAGGGAGCAGGCCGACCCGAACCGCCTGAACGTGATCTACGTCTGCTGGCAGCGGGTGATCCTGAAGGCCTCTGGCGAGGCTGACGGTGAGCATGTTCAAAAACTCGGTGGAAGCCTCCTTCCAACACGTCAAGACCCACCTCGAGGAGATCGCCCCCGAGAGCCTGCGCGAGCTTCGCGACGATGTGAACCGGGCGCTCAACAAACGGCAGACCGACGACTTCGACATGTACATGCAGTTCCGCGAGTGGAAGAAGAACAAGAAGGGCCCGGCGAGCAGCAAGGACGGGAGCTTCGAGATGATCAAGGAGGAGGACTCCGAGAGCGGGTGCACCCTGGACTCCAGGTTCACTCACTTCAACCAGAGAACCGGAAGCCGAGGACGCCGATTGACGACACCATCACCGGCCTCACCAGGGAGACCACCTCGTGGTCCACCACCGCCACAGCCGGTAACGACGCGCCTGCCTACGAAGACACAGTCCTCGAGCCGAATGTCGACGAGCAGCGCCAACAGCAGCAAGGCGACCACGAACAAGATGATGGAGATCGACCACGAGAAGCTCTGGTACGAGTCCAACGCGCTGGTCACGGACAAGAAGGCCCAGCAGGAGATCTTCACGAGCGCCTTCCACATCCTCGACCCGAACACGCCGACATGCGACTGCCGTCGCGGACGCAAGGTGGAACTCAGCGCGACGACCCAGAACCCCAACAAGGTGTTCTACAACTGCGCCAACTTGGAGCCGCAGAGCCAGTGCGGAGTGTTTCGATGGGCTCCCGTACAGCCCCTTCTGGACGAGGGGTTCATGGAGATGAGAGCGAGGGTGGCGAAATGCTACCCGAGGGACTTGACGTCCCGCGAGCTGTTGGTGAGGATCCTCCAGGACTCCTGCCCGCACCACTGGACGGTGGCTACGGGATCCAACGCCTTCGTTCAACGGACCCGCTGCCGGATCTGCCACAAGGTGATCAATATCGAGCGCAAGGTGAACAGCAGCCCGGAGATGACGAGCGGCAACGAGACGGAGCACTTCGACGAGAAGGAGTACGAGGCCTTTGTCCAGTGGAAGCGGGACCGCTACTAAGCAAGCGGGAACGTCAAAGGATCAAAGGGTCCCTCCAGCAGTCGACTCGAGGGCACCTTAACATGTTACAGCTGGAATACGGAAGCTCCCGAGACGACCGGGTGGACCGACCACCGCTGAGTTTTTGCAAAAAGGGAGACCAGAAGCGACTAGGCCAGGCTTTGAACTTGTCAGACCGTGCCCTGAAAGCCTTCTTGAAGGAACGGCGTGCCCCTGAAACTGACATGTCAGTTCTCCGTTGCCCTCCGCAGATTCCCGAACTTCTTAGAGATTACCGTTGCGCAGTAGAGATTGCAGCGAGTTGCCTGATTATGTCTGTCAGTTGCTGCATGACGGAAGAGCCGGCTAAGTATTTGAAGATCTTAGGTCAGTGCTTGCAGCATGCTGTCAAGCGGTTCCGAAGAGTTCTTCTTGTCCTGGAGGCACCAACAGATCTGGAGACGCCATGCTGTGATTGCCAACTCAAGCTGGCTCACGAAGGAGGCCGACAGGTCTTCGGCACTTGGCCTAGGGAACGGGTTGCGTTTCTGCAGGAGTGTCTTGTTCGGTGTCACTCGTTTGATGACATGTTGTTAGAAGTGCGAAGGGAGTTTGCTACTGAGTGCGATGTGCCATGGCAACAAGTTCATCTACACGACGTTGGCGAGATGAAACGAGACAGCCAGGAACGAAGCAACCGCTATGCCCGCCTCTTGGACGTCAATCCACTCGAGATCGAGGTGATGTTCTCCAGGCGAGTACGGCAACGTCGAGCAGAAGATCAAGGAGGCCACGAGGACCGAGAACTTCGACACGATGAGGTGGCAGAGAGGGCGAAGGAGGTGAAGCCAACCTCGATGGCCCCAACCAGATAGGACCTGATGAGGAGCGAGAACTTCCACACGATTCCGCGGAAGGAGATGGCAGAGAGGGTCCCCCAGGCGATGCGCTAGAGCATCGACCTGTTGAACAGGACGTACCAGGAGCTGGGGTGGGTCTAGATGAGCGTGATTTACCAGGAAGCAGAACCCGGACACTTCGGCAGCTGGTGAAGCGAGCACATGATGGACTTGGGCATCCCCATCGCGAACGTTTTCTACGTATCCTGAAGGCCGCCAAGGCAAATGAAGAAGTTCTTCAAGAAGCCCGGAATCTCAAGTGCAGCGTCTGCGAAAAGTTTGCTTCTGTGAGGCCACCCCGAAAGGCGGCACCACCACGGGAATTTGGCATCAATGAGGTGATCGGCATGGATACTGTCTGGCTACCTACCGTGGGTCAAAAGCAGAAGCGGGTGGCCCTGAACATCATCGACTACTCCAGCCACTTCCAAACGATGATCCCGCTCCGAGGTCGGAGCCCCGAGGCCGAATGGGTCAAGTTCTTTGGCCCGCCGAGACAGATCTGGGCTGACCAAGGAAGCGAGTTCAAGGGTGCCTTCAAGGTCCGGACAGCTCAAGAAGGAACCCGTATGTATGGATCCGAGCAGCCTGGAAGCTCCTACGCAACGAGGACTTGCCGAACGACACGGGAAAACTTTCAAGGTGATGTTGGAGAAGACTATGGCCGACTACTGCTGCGAGAGCTACAACGAATGGCTGGAACTCGTCGACGTCACGGTCATGGTCAAGAACAGGCTGGCATCCAGAGGCGGTTTTTCACCAATTCAACGGGTACTTGGCTATCTACCCCGCCTTCCTGGAGGTCTTCTATCAGAAGGACAAGACGATGCCGAAGCTGGAAGTCGACCTCGACTTGGAGACGCCGGGATCATGCGAGCAATGGAGATGAGAAAGGCGGCGGCTAAGGCGTTCTTTGAGGTGGACAGCGACCAAGCCCTACGAAACGTTCTTGCAGGCGGACCACGACCTTCCCAGGACTACGTGACCGGCCAGATGGTTTATTTCTACCGACTGGGACACTCAAAGAAAGGAGATCGACCTCACCAACGGTGGCATGGCCCTGCTCGGGTTATCATGACGGACTACCCCGGAACCATCTGGTTGAGTTATCTGGGCGGACTTGTGAAAGCCGCCCCTGAGCGGATTCGCCCTGGGAGTGAGGAAGAGAACCTGACGATTTGCGGATGGCTAGATGGCCTGACTCAGGCCAAGGAAGCTTTCGAAAAGAACCTATGCGTGGCTACATCGACCTCAGCGACGAGCCCCTGCCCGACCTGGAGGAGATGGACGACGAGCCCGACCACGGAGAGGAGGGCGTGGCTCAACCAGAACCAGTACTACGACGCGTCCGAGGCAAGAGGATGCCAGAACGAGCTCTACCGGAACCTATGCGGGACGAACAGGACGACGTGATCATGCCCCAGGCGGTTCCACTTGGACCCGCCGAGACGGAAGAGACTTTCGAGGAGTCCCAACCGGGACCAGCAGGGGCGGCGCTTCTTCCCGCGTCATGCGAGGACGACGAGGAAGGCGTGCCGGAACCACCGGCGAAGCGAACAAGGGTTCAGATTCTGGAGGCCTACTACGCCAAGCTGGAGACCCTCTTCAAGACCAGGCAACGCAAGGAGGTGAAGCTCAAGGAGTTGAACCAGAAGGACCTCCAGTGCTTCCTCAAGGCCACCGAGAAGGAGATCCAGAACAAACTGAACACCCAGGCCTATGAGAAGCTGACAGCCGAGGAGAGTGAACGAGTCCGAAGGACCCGTCCAGACCGGATCATGGAGTCGCGTTATGTTAGGACCGTGAAGCCCTTGGAGCTCTGTGATGTTGACAAAGCCAACATGGAGGGCACTTTGCTCTCGAGCAACCATGGGGGCCTTTGTAAAGCCAAGGTTCGACATGTCATGAAAGGCTTCTCGGAAGAAGGAGCTGAGGACCTAGACTCAGCAACTCCGCAAGTCACAAGAGAAGGGGTCATGTTCACGACTCAGGTTATAGTTAGCGAAGGGGTCATGTTCACGACTCAGGTTATAGTTAGCAAGGGCTGGAAGATGGGTTTCCTGGATTTCACTCAGGCTTTTCATTCAGGGGATCCGATTTCGAGGGAATTGTATGCCGAGCAGCCCCCAGAGGGCGTTCCCGGGATGCAAAAAAGGGGAACTTCTCAAGCTCTTGAAGACTTGTTACGGATTATTGGATGGTCCCATGGCGTGGTTTCGGCACCTTCGAAAGGTTCTGCTTGAGGAGCTAGGGTATGTTCAGAGCTTAGCTGATCCGTGCATTTATTTTCTTCAGGATGAAAGCAAGCATGGTTGGGATCGGCTTTTGGGGATTGTTTCGGTTGCCACTGATGATTTGTTGCACGGTGGTGGCCCGGAGCATCAAGAGAGAATGGAAACCCTGAATCAGAAATACAAACTGGGAAAGTTTCAGTACGGCAGTGGTAGATTCACGGGCAAGCAGTTCACGCCACAGCCTGACGGTAGCATCTTGATTGATCAAGCGCATTATGTTCATGAGAAGGTCCAAAGAATCGTGTTGAGTAAACCTAGAAAGGCCCAGCGGTATTCCAAATGTTCTGAAGAGGAAATTGCTCAACTTCGATCGTTGGTCGGAGCCTTGTCATGGCTCGCTAAGGAAACAAGACCTGATTTGAGTGGAAGAGTCTCGTTGCTCCAGCAGCAGTTCCCCAAGCCCCGTGTCTGTGATATCCTGTCGGCTAACCAATTGGCCGCTGAGGCGGAGAAGTTTACAGTAGGTGTTCGTGTGACTCCGATCCCTATCAACAAACTTAGAGTTAGCGTGGTAACAGATGCCTCGTGGGGCAATGCTGAGGATGGCCAGGCCCGAGAGGATGATTCCTCTGACTTCTGGACTGAGACTCCAGAATGTTGGATCAGACATCATGTTAAACCTCGGCGAACCTTGTTCCACCCAGGCATGACGGACTCAGGACCAGATCTGCATGGTCTGGCCGCTTCCCGCACGACCAGGTTGCGCCAAGACGGCGCAGAGCGAGAGCAAGTGGACACCTGGAATCAGGAAAGCTCGGCCTAGTCCCTGGCGAGCCCTGGACCGGGCAGACAGTTTTTCAGAAGGCAGAGCCAGGACTTCGGCATCAGGAGATTTCAGAAGGTTTTCTTCAGAATCGGCGGATGCAAAGTCCGGGTGGGCACTTGATTATTTTCCATGATCAAGATCTTCAATTTGAACCTTCGGCCCTGATTTCGATCACCAGCTGGACAAGCTACCGACTGAAAAGGAAGGTTGTGAACACCTTAGCTGCTGAATGTCAGGCCCTTGTGAATGGGATTGGTAACGTTCATTGGCATAGATTTTTGATGAGTGAGGCTCGAGGCGAGACATGCAAGGATCCGGACTGGGAAGGCGCTCTGACCAAGTTTCCGTATCTTGCTGTTACTGATTCCAAATCACTCTACGATGCTGTTTCCAAACAGACCTGCCCCTACAGTCAGATCGATGACAAGCGCACCGCCATCGACATTTCGATTGTGAAACACGAACTGTCCAAAGGAGGAACAGTGCGATGGATTGATGGAAGAAACATGATTTCTGACTCCTTGACGAAAAGCACCGGTGGCAATTATTTGCGGCATGTGATGACTACCGGCCGGTGGACGCTAAACGAGCTCGGGTTCAAGACTCTTTTGCAACAGGCTGAGGATCCAAAGGAATGCCTCTTCCTGTACCAGGGGCTATGGGATACATGGTTCAGTCAAAAGAAAGTCGGTCCGATGTGAATCTGGCCCTCGTTCTTGACTGAACCAGTCACTGCAACGCCGTTTTGCCTATCAAGGCCCGCGTGCACCGATTGAGCAGCTTGGCAGGGGGATGCATTTGAAAAAGTGCCGGCTTCCTCCTGAGACTTTCGTCTGTTCTGTGTTCTTTGGGTCGTTAGCCAACTACATAGGGTTGTCGAGCCCCCCTTCAAAGGGGAAGGGCCTCGAACGAACACTGCAAATTCCGCGAGCAAAACCTTTTCGTCAATTTGCGGCTGACGCTCTTTTGAGTGAATGCGCTGCTACCCTTTCGGGCTCCGGAATGGTGCTTAGTGCTTAGTGTTTAGTGTCCGGGGTTCCTGCGAACTGTTACTGATGAAGCTAGCGGTGTAGGGGACCTCGTTGCCAGTGTCTAACGGGGCGGTTTCGAGTTTCGGGACCGGGTTTAGGGTGCACGAAGGCGTAAGGATTAACAACGAGGGTGCTTCTTGCTTTCGTACCGGTTCTGCGCAGCGCGCAGATCCCTTTGGAGGTACTTGTGCTATTTAGATTGGCGAAGCCCCAAGCCAATGCGATAATGTGCTTCTGCCCCATCCTTAGGGTCATGGCTTATTCAGATTCAGATCTCGAGGGCTTGTCCCGAGCCCTGAGCCAATCCTGAACCTCAACACAGCTGCAAGCGAAGCCCGATGTTGCATACTGTCCTTCTAGGCCGCTAGGCTACGGCTCAAGGTTCATGTCAAAGCTCAGGGTAAGCCTGTCAAAACTCGAATCGTCTAAACCAAACCTTACTTATTTATAAGGCCTTAAGGACCAACTCACGAGACAACCTTTTCAGTCATTTTCCGAGCTTCACGCATCGGTCAAAGGCGCCGTAGGAGAATACCTTAGCTGGATCGAACAAACTGCGAACATGTACGTGCTTACGCATTTACATAGACAGGCAGATACAGGTTGTCTTCATTGTGGACAAGCTGTTCCAAACTTTAGTTTTTTTGATGGCACCTTCTGAAACGAATTTACTATGACGAAGACTCCCCCATAAGCCTAATGGATCCCGAATACAGTATACAAACAATAAAAACCCCTACTGAAGCCCCTTTTTTTCAGTTCAGCCGAAGCTGCAACCACCCAACCCGGTAACCCCCAGGTCTCAATCTTCAATGCGTTGTCCATGGCATCTTCTCCAGGTGGCCCCGCAGCTCGGAGCCAAAGATAGTCCCTTCATGTAGTTTTAGACTGGTCGGTTCTGTGTGTGAATGTTCAAATCATTTTCGCTGCCATACAAGCCCAGGTGTATCGTCACACTTGACTACTGCACTCGCCTCGCCGAGTGTTTCGGGGTCGACTCGGGAAAATCTTGAAAACAAAAACAGCAAACTCATGAGGCTGTATGTTCAAACTCTGTAGAGTCGATTGGCGATGCAGCGTCCGCACGTGTCTGACTTTCCTGAACAGGCCTGAAGTCCATCGGGACCAATCTGCTGCCGTGCGGTCCTACCCGAAAGTGCTGCAAACTCAATGAAAAAAAGCTTTGGCTTGGTGTACAGATCTCATGTCCCAGCCACGATAATCTTACAAGCTGGCTTCCCGGAGCCCAAGCCAAGCCCTCCCATCCCATTCCACCCGAAAGTGCTCCAAACTTGCTTCCTGCCAGCCAAGCCCCGCCTAAACGCATGCTTTTTCAGGGGTCTGCTATGCATAAGTGCATAAGCATTGTTGGTGTTCCATCCCATCCCACCCCACTTTTTGGAACACCACATGCTTGTGGAACAATGCATCTGGGAAGCCTGGTCTTAGAATTTCGGCGACCGCCCACCGAAAATGATCAAACGAGCGAGCTTGCCGGAGCCCCAACATTTGTCCACGAAAAAACTGGTGTTATGTATTCGTTCATGTTTGGGGGCGCGCTTCCTGAGCACAAGCAAAAAGGCGGGATTGGTATGATTGGTACTATGCCTCCCGCAAAGCCTCAAATCCCACGAAACATGCGAGCTTGCTGTATTGCAATTAGCTATACAGGATTTGAAGGATCGACATAATTATTGTGACGCACTGCTTGCATTGCTTGCATGAGAAAGCCTACACTCTCGAAGCCAAGGCCTTGGCATCCGAGGATCTCGCCTGTGATCACAACCCCATGCCGCCGGGCCACTCGATTTGAGTCACCGCTGGGGGAACGCGGGCATATCTCTGAAGCTCCTCCAGTAAGGCTGCGGCTTCAGGGCCTAGGGGGTTTTAGGCTATGTGATCTGCCTTGGTCATAGAATTGTGTTGATTCATGTTTCAAGCTTTTGGGCTTCAGAGTTGTGGGTTTGGGTGTCTGGGATTCTCAGCTTTGAGGAAATTTTGTGCTGTCGAGGAGGGGTTTGGTGACGGAGTTTGGGAATGGCGGGGAGTTGGCAATTCAGGCACTTGGAACTCGCCCTAAGAGTGCTCCGGTATGCAAACGATTCCAACCCACCTCATGCTAAAGTGCCCTGACCGAACAACAACGACTATCGGTGCAAGTCGAGTTTATCTAATCTCTTTCCGTTCAAGTTTAGGGTGCTTTAACCGCATGACTAGTCTAGATCTTTACGGTGTCACTGTCAGCAACAAACCGAAGTCCAGAAACAAACATCTGGCCACAAATCACGTCACCCCCCTCCTGGAGATGCTTCAGCATGAAGTTGCTCACGCCCAAGGCCTCATCACCACTGCGGGATCCAAGACTTGCAAGGACACCCGCTAATAGAGTCAATAGAGGTGATTGCTTGAAAGCGGTTTCCCGAGTGTGGACGCTAATCGATGCGTATTTCAACATCTTGACCTAATGCGGTTCATCAGTTGCCAGGTATCGGTAGCATGCAAGAACAAGGACTGGTTCAAATGGGCTCAGCAAAAGTTGTTGCTTTTTGTTGCTACTTTTCCGTGCAATTACTCAGAACGTGCATGAGCTCAGACTTCTTGGAGTGCACATCAGCCACGAGCTGCACGGTGATGTCGCGAGCTGGAGGTGCTAGGGGTAGAAGCATAGGCTCAAACGTTCAACGGACTTCCCGACAGCTAGGGTCCTGAAGATCCACATTTCAAGCGCTCAAACCGCATCAGGCGCATGAGTCACACTTGCACGAGCAACCACCCATTAACCTTCGTGTCAGGCTGTTTTTGTACAGCAATTGGGACGCAGGGAGCAATTGTATAGTGCATGGGACCTTTCAGGAAGGCCGGTGACCTCGTACTGATACTGTATAATACTAATTCTGTTTGAAGCAACTTGGTTCCTGTAGACCCAGGGAGAATGAGCACTATTGATTTATCATGCTGAAGTGATTGGAATGAAAGCTAGAAGCTTTAGGTTTGTTTTTTTCTGGGTCGCGGTTTGGTGCCGGATTAGGGCGCTGCGTGGTGAATTTTTAGTGCGCAGCGCACTGAACTTCTGTGACTGATGACGCCACGGAACACGAACAGGCAACTAATACCAAACCAAATACACACCCTGTAATTAAACCCCAGACCATGGAATTTCAACGGCCCATGTATAAACCTAAGCTTACCCGACATAGCCCCAGGCCGCCAAACCTTACCCCCCCTGAAGCAATGTGGAACCCGCACTTAACTGCGCAACTTATAATAAGTACAGCTCGAAATTAGGCGGGTGACGTTCGCGGCTACTTTCTGCAAAACGGTCGCTATTTCATTTCAATTTCGAAATTGGTGGGTTTGGGGCTGGTGGCAGTCTCTGGGCCAGGCAGAGTGTGCTTTTGGGGTGCCAGAGAAGGCACAACGAGCTTATCTGAGTCAGATAAGGTGTTTTCGTGTTCCCGAAAACACAACAACTGGCTGTCCATGCTGAAAGCATGCTTAAAGGATGCCACAAGGCACCAGCAAAAGGAGCCTATCTGGGTCAGATAGGGTGTTTTCGGGGTCCCAAAGCAAAACAGCTGCCTATCCGAGTCAGAGAAGGTGTTTTTACGACAAAAATTAAAACAGCGAAAATAGGGTGCTCTTGTCTGGGAGCGGGCGTTTTGGGGCAGTACGTGGGCCGAACTGTGTGTTGTGGGGGGTGCCACAAGGCACCTTTTTGCTGCTCACCAACAAAAACGAGCGTATCTGAGTCAGATAGGCTGGTTTGGGGTCCCAAGAGCAACAACATCTGCTTATCTGTGCTAATAGGGTGCTTGCGGGATGCCAAAAGGGTCCCCAGGAAAAGGAGCTTATCTGAGTCAAATAGGCTGTTTCCAGCAAAAGGAGCCTATCTGAGTCATATAGGGTGTTTTGGGTGTCCACCATCTGATTTGCGGTTTTCGTTGAGTCTCGAGTAACACACAACACATAGAGCAACATGGGGCCAAGGGCTACGTCGCTAACTATAATTTGGCTTAATTTGGGACGACTGCGGTCGCTATGTTCGGAAATTTTCGAGGTGACGTCGTGTGACCTCGCCAATATAATTTGCACAGACTTAATC